AAGTTTAGTAACTTGTAAAATGTATAAGAATTTTATTTTAAAAAATGTATATATAATTTAATAATTAAAAATATAATTTTATAAATATTGAAATATGTAACAATTAAGAATTTTTTTGTATGATTATAAAATCAATCAAAATATAATACATTAATAAAGATTAGATAATTATAATGTATATCTTAACAAAAGTGTAATTTACATATATAATATAATGTTAAAAAGATGTAAATATCAAAATATTATATGCACTTACTATAATAAATAGAAAGAGTAAAATTAATTTGTAATAATTAATTAAAGAAAGGAACGTGAAATAAAGTATTTGAAAAAAAATATGAATTTTGAAATAAAAAAGTAATAAACTTTGAAATTTGCAATAAAAAATGTTTTTTAAACGAATTTACAGATTTGTAATTTTTTAAATTTTTGACTGAGAGTACGGTAAATAATAAGTTAAGTATTATGAATTTTATAAATATAAATATTTATGAGAAAATTAAAATTTAAATCAGATGATAAGAAAATTTTATAAATTTAAACAAATTATTTATAGGAAATTTGAAAGTTTTGTATAAGGTAATAAGTAATTTTTTATAAATATAAAAATAGGTATTCATGAAAATTTTAAAATTTTATAAAAATGAATAAAGACAATTTAAGTAAAAAATTTGATCTCCAAGATTTAAAAAGAAATTAATAAAGAGATGAGACGAGTAAAAAGTAAAAGTATTAAAGATTGCAATTAACATCAATTCACATGTCTTTTTTAATTAATTTTAATCTTAAAGTATCTTTAGAAATTATATCAAATAAAAATAAATTTAAGAGTTGATATTTTTCTTCAATCTTAATTTAAATTTAAATTTTTTAGTTTAACCTTATTTAATAATAATATTTACTTTTTTTAAAAATTTATTAAATTTAAAAATATTCTATTGAATAATACCCTTGTCCTGCAAGACAGGAAAATCACGGGTAAAATTAATTTTATTTATTTAATTCTTTGATAGAAAAGTGGCCTTGTCATTTTAGTTCACTCAACAACTATTTTTAAATTTGGTTTTATAATTTGACTGGATTCTTTTGCTTACATGACACTATTTTATTAGATAATAAAAGAAAAAAATGTTAGTTGTAATTTTTTTGTTATATTTTTTATTCTAAAAATTACTTCAATTTTAAGATCTTGAATTTCATTTATCTTACACAATCATGACCTGAATCTAGGAAGAGAATATATATTTTTTATTTGAATTTACTATTATATTTTCACTTTAGATAACTCCATTTCTTATAATTAACAACATTTCCATTAAATTTTATAATTAGAGTTAGACCATTAATCGTTTATTAAATTATTAAATAATCTAACAGAAAATTCTGAAAAGAGAAACAAAGAAAATCCAAAGCCATTGAGGCTGTCGTACCACTTATTCTATTAAAATAAAAAATAAAGAAATGAGAAAGCGACCAAACTTTGCCTCAACATATTCTCATGTGATTGGCTTCAAACATATTATTGGTGACTTCAGCTTTCATTTTTAATGAACTTTGGCACTCTTTCATTTATTTTTTGTCCACTAAATCGATCGCGTAAACATCTTATATAGACACACATACTGTACATCCACACCTTCCTATGCATTTAAATTTCTAAGTTGGTTCTTCGTATATCCTTTTTATTCAATATAAAGTGGGTTGCACACTTATCCTAAAAGGGTATGTGAGTATAATAATATGATTATTAGTAAATTATACTACAGTATTACATTTTAAAGTTGTAAATTTAAGAGATGAAATCTATTTTATTTCACTTATTTTAATGTAAGCAAATTCAAGAATCAACCAACTACTCGTGTTTTTAAAGTTAACTGTAGTATAATTAGCACATCCTTTTACAATTTTAAGAGAGAAATAACTATTTGGATTGGTGCAGAGCATACTCAAGGGCATTTGGAAGGGTGATGGTGTGGGCTAAGGAGAATAGAAGGTGAAGCATTATGTCACATCCTGTATTTGGTATTTTGTTGATTGCATAATTAGTACCAAAAATGACATTTGAATATTTGAATAATTTATAAGACAAGTAATAGAGTCAGGAGTGCATCCATAGCACATGCAGGTTGATGAGAATTGTAGAGTGAAAGTTGCCAAATACTTTATAATAATGATTAATTGGGTCAGGTGTGTGTGATGAGAAGACTCCTAAGAAACCGGAATTTTTCCAATCCACATATTGTTGAGTCATTCTAGTTTGGATTTTGTGGCCTTTTTCTTAGCTGTTGTGGGAGAAACAAACACAACTTGTCACCATTTTGTAGCTTAAAGAAAAGGATCTTATAAATCTGTGGTCCTATGCAACACATTCTCTTTTGAAAACAAACACACACACCCCTTCTTTTGGAAACCAAGGAATAAATATAAGAAAAATACTTACCAACATTTTTAGTGTTGCTCAGTTAAAATTGAAGTTTTACTTTGATAACATATATTAATAATATTTAATACTTTAGACACGGGTAGATAGGATAGAATAATGATATTTTTGTTCTTAGTTAAATATTTGTTGAGCCACACAAATATGATTTATTTATTGTATTATTTATTTTATCTTATTAGACTAGTGTAACTGTCATAAAAGATGACTTGGTTAGAAGAGTAAAAAATATATAGCAATTATCTTCCTTCAAATACCCTTAATTTGTTCTATTATCTCTCTCTCATCTCTATGTTATATATTTTAAAAATATATTAAAATTTTAAAAAATATATTATATTATTTTATATATTTAAAAATATTTTAAATTATTTATATATTTTCTATAAATTAAAAATAAATAACTTAAAAAAAATAATTTAATAAATATAGACAAAAAGATAAATTTATTATTTTTTACATATTTATGTCACATTCTTCTATTTATTAAATTTATACCAAACATTAAATATAATAAAAGTTTATCATGTTTTTATTATATCATACTCTTATTCTATATACTTGCTATATATTTTGATCTTAAAACAAGAGACCTGAGTTCTATTCCAAGTATAATAATAGAATTGCTTTTTAAAATAGTTGCATAATTGGATGCACATGGAAATACAAGTCTAGCATGGATGGGGTGTAATGTGCCCCTAATGGATATGCCAAGACTGAGAAACACATGCCATTTTATTGGTGGCAGAAGCTCGAGGGAAAATGGTGGTTGGGTTACAGCATTGTTCAACTGTCATTGCCAACTACTCACATGAAAGTGAAGATTGTAACAGTGATATTGAAGATATTCGAAAATAAAATTATGGGACTTGATAGCCAAACACTGCCTTCTCTTTGGGCCTATAATCCGAGTGCAATACCTACTACTTTTATTCATAATAAAAGCTTTAACATGATGAATGCACTTCTTGGCTCTTGCTTTCTTGCTTTCTTGCTTTGCTTCTTGAACATGTCAACATGAATATATGACATGGACCTGTTGCTTAATTGAATAAAAGGCAATATAAACCCCCTTTTATTATTCCATTTTCTGGTTAAAACTGACCAATAAGTTAATTTGTCAGATAGCATAACAACTCTGCAGTATCTCCGACAGCCACATAGGTTAGTACATGTATGACAACTCAGACCATGTTCTTGTTCAACTTTTATTTTTTGTGTCCAACAACTTATGACTTCCAACAAGAGTTTTCTACTTTTCTTCCTCAACATAGCGGTTGGTTCAATGCAGTCAATAAAAGCCGACCACCATGTTCACTGTAATCGCTTGTGTAAACCTTGTTTAGTGCTTGGATGATGAATCTTAGATCCATTTTTGCACACAGTTATCCAATTCTATCTTAAAATTATTTTATCGTGTCATATACCCTTATTTTTAAAATAAAGTTATTTATTTATGTAAAATATATATTAATTTTATAATATATATATATATTCACATAAATTCGATTTGAAGTAGATTAGATTATTTTTTAAAATGGGATTCAAATCTAATTCAATCCAATAAAATTTTTTCAATTTTTGTGGTTTTCAGTTTGTTTGATTTTCTGTTAAGTTATTAATTTTACGATTTGATTTTTGCTGTTTGCATTGGATAATATAACCATGTAAAGCATAAGTTTACATCTAATAAATTCTGTATATTTTAAAATCAGTTTCTTTTTTTTTTCAGAAATTGAAACAAACTGGCTCTAAATCATACTCTCTATTTTGTCTTATTATGTAATAGGAACTACATATATTTTTCTTAAATAAAAAAATGTTTTAAACAAATGTTCTAAGAACTAGAATAATATTACTAAAATTTCTCCTCTATACTTACCTAATATTTTAAAATAAAGTTATCTTATTAAATCAAATACAGATCATGTGATGTTTTACACTAGCTGCCTCGTGTAGTCCTTGTGAATTGCACCAAAGCGTGCGATCAATTTAAATGTTCATCAACACGATCCATGCAAGCCGAAACAACTGATACAACTTCCTCGAATTGTGCCAGTCATGGTCTAATCCATATAAAGGCATTTTATATTTTATAATCCAGGCTTAAATATACTTATATTTTCTTTAAATATTGTAACCTTCATTTAACCTTTAGTTTAAAAAAGATGTAGACAATATGAACATTTTTATTTCGTTTCCCAAGCACCTTCCCATTAAGACTCCCCATTCGTTTTATCCATTTTTCATTCTTTGATTTTCTGTTTGTTTCCTTAAACATCACAGTTCTTTTAAAAATGAACCAAATGAAAAAACTCGTATACTATGTTATGGTTCAAAAGACAGGTGGGAAAGAGATTCCAACGAGAGGAGAGTTTAAATAATATAATAATAACGTTATTATACTCCTCTTATAAGTATTAATGGTGATGAAAAGAAATAAGTAAAACGTAATTTCATAATGACTAAATTTCCTAAAGTTCCTCTCCTCCAAAACTAAATTGAAATAGAATAAATTTTATAATGACTAAATTACAACTTTTTGAAAAAGCAAGGCTAGCGAGAAACTTATCATATTTAGAGTAATCAAAATCACATTTAAGCCTAAATTTATGTGATATTATGATAGTAACTTTCAAAATTTCTATCTATTGAACAAAACAGCTCATGACCAAGGCAGAAATGAGTTTAACACACAATACAGTGTGTGCACTACCCTGAAGTAGGTTTTAATCACAGTAGAACTATATGCGGCTTAACAGCAGCTATATACCTAACTGATATATTTTAGACACCTGACCAACCAAAACTCAACAGAGGTAAGAACTACGCACTGCTTGTATCAACACGAATGAGAATTGTCTTAACATTTTTCATTGTGCATTGTTCTGTTAGCAGTTGGCTCCCTACCTGGTGATGAGTGCCTAGCTAGCATTTTGGCTGTTTTAACAGCTTCAATGACTTTACGGTAGTAACCCCAAGATGGATTTGTTTCTCTTATGGGCCTTTGACCAAATGGATTTGCTGACACGTACTCTTGAACATTATCAGCCATAGCCAGCCCTTCTAGATAAACCCGAAGATCACCTTCTGGTCCTGTGAACAGAAATGGAAGGCTTAACATGAATTGTTAAGGCAAATAAAGATAATTAGAGGCACATCAATTTGCTTAAAGCATTTGATATTTGCAAAGAAATACGGGTGTAAGAAAGAAGAGGAAGAGAAACAGAAAACATCTCACCTAATGACGAGTCTGTGGTGTCGTAGTACCGGTAAGAATAAGGAAATATTGCTGTATGCCTCTGAAAATAAATTGATTATGGGAGTGACAATAGGAGGAAAAGTTATATAACACAAGAAAGTGAGGCTAATTGCATAAAAATAAAACAAAAAAGAAGCTTACAGGATTCACTAGTGCTTTGTATGGAGAGTCATCCAATAATAATGTGTTTGACTCATTAAACTCTCCCTTCTCCCATGGTAAACCAGGTTCCGATTTTTCCCACAACTTTACAAGTTCCTTCAAAACCAGCGGCTTGTTTCTATTCTCAACAGTGGTGAATTCAGTAATAGTACAGTGGGACTGATTCTACATAAAAGATTATCTAAAGATTAATAGTGTCTAGAGAAATTCCAAGTAGGAATGAACTTCTACCGCTAACCGTTTACAAGTTATAACTGCATCTTTAATGATGCTATGAATAACAAACTAATTTACTAAAATGCAATTATAGTTTATAACATCAAACCATTTCCATTTTGTCCAAACTGAAATCTCTGTCTGTGTCTGTGTCTGTCTGTCTCTCTCTCTCTCTCTACACACACACACACAATTGAAACTAATGACAACTAGAATTACAAGGCTGGTTCTGTTTGGTAATGATAATAAAAAAGCATTCAATTGATGGTGTGGAAAATCCTGCAGAAGGCATAAAAGTCAATTAGGAAGCAGAAGTATAACAAGTTTTATTGCAGGGACATGATATATTAACTGAGAAAAATTTTCCAGTATGCAATATTTTACTGATCACCAAGATTTCCCTTCATTCAAATGCAAGGAATGAACACAAACTAAACTCAATACCCATTCAACATCTGGCGTAAACAAAAGGCCAGCCATTTAGAGTAAAAATGTTAATACAGTGCAATTAGACAAAAAATGTAACTTAATAGGCTAATACCTAAAATTACGTTGAGGAAAAGAAATCATTCGTAGCAGACTAATATAGCTAAACAAAAGCCCCTAAAAATTATGCTAAAAGCTACAGAAGATTTAGAACAGATTACCCAACAAAAGAGCAGTTTTGATGCAGATTTCCCAATTAGAAATTCAATTGCTTCATCAACATTCCTCCTGCCAATAAATACGAGCAACAAAGCACAATAATAAATGTATAATGCTCATTTTGTGATACCGAAATGTAAACCAACTAATCCATTATTGCATCTTAAACTGAAGTCAAACTAAAACAAAAGCAATGAGATAATTTTAGTCGCAGATTGGCAAATACTTGGCTCTAGATGACCAAATCCCCACATGAAATTTGTCAAAGCAAAACTGTAGAAAATCATCACAAAAGGGCCTCTTGTAAACTGCAAAAGGCAAAAGTAATATCTGTCAAATCAACGAAGATAAAGATATGAAATCTATGGAATGAGGAAACACAATATTTGATCAGGTCACCTTTTCTCCTTTTAAGCCAAAAATCTGGCTCTGGTTCTGGTCCATATCTTCTACCAGTATCACTGACAAAATCAGCAAGAAGTCCATTCACATCAAGTATGAGAAGTTTATTCTTTGTGTTGCTGGCAACAGTTCTGTCCAGTAAGAATTGTGAAATCTTTGAATGACCATCTTTTACTTTGACTGAGCTTAAATCAGAAACATCACCTGCACAACACAGATCATTTCTTGTAATTTCAGTATGATCTAGCTGTCCACCACTTGTTTCAAGTTGCTCCCCAGGGGCAGGGATGTCTACTACAGAAGATGTAGTCATAAATCTTTGCTCACAAGTGTTGTCTGTTCTCAAATTCATTTCCTCAGTTGCAGCTCCACTTTGATAGGTAACTTCATCATTCGAAAGTTTTGTTTCTCTATCCATCAAGCCAACTGTCAATGGTCCATCAGAAAATTTATATGAATCATCCCCGTGATGGTCCTGCATAGTTGGTTCATTGTTACAATTTTCAAGACTTGGGTGGCCACTGCTTCTCCTACAATTGGAATTAACTGGTTTTCTCCTTGAATAGGTCTTAACACACTGTTTTTTATCAGATATGTCATAAACTGCTGGGTAGTGATAATTTTTCCTCACCAGACTTGTATTTTTTACAATACCATTCTTATCCTCAGGGTTGGAACTGTTATCATTTATACCTTGCTCTATGTTCAATTTCACAACTTCTAACACACTCTCCTTTGCAAAATGCTCAGGATTTGTTACAACTGAATCATGGTTGCAGCTTCCTTTTTGAACGTCACACTGTCCACAGCTGTTTCCTGCAGTCTTATTGATCATATTCTGCTCGTTTTCTTCATGATGTCCTTGACAAATACCCTCGTCCACACAAGATTGTCTTGCTACTGAATCAATTAAAACACATTGAATTGGATGTTCTGAAGGCATATCCAAACCAGATGTGGAAGATCTTGATGAAAAAGTATTTTCTGGTGCACTGCAATCATTAACATTGCTTTCAACAGCATTATGCTCTGTTTTCTTCCGTTTGCTCTCTCCATTTTTCTTTGTTGAATCACACACTACAATTGTTTGGCAACTTAACAAACTAGGCAAAGCTGCGGACTCACGTAATGGGTGCTTTATAGTCACACCCGCCTCTGATGCAGAATTATCGATTGAAAAATCAGGACCTTCATGCTCAACAACGTTACCTTGTTTCTTCTTTCTTACCATTTTCTGCTTTTGGTCTGTACTAGTTAAAGAATCTCCCAAACTGGTTACTGGTGGAGGCCCCATGTGCAACTCATTTACAACATCCGTCAATCCCGAATCTTCAAACGAAAAATCGTTTCCTAAACTAGGAAATATGGAGAATATACAGATCCACTATCACAGCAATTGCGATAATTCAAGATCAACAGCACAAACACGTTTCTCTGTATCTACATACGTTGTACAGTATTATCACCAAGCACTAACACCTTTCTCCATATCTATGTATATTTTACAGGGATTTTAACTTCATGTGTCGAAATTTCCCAATTAGATCATTCCCGCGTCGATTGCTGTCAAATCAATACTTGTATTGATTGATGTATCTTGTTTCAGTCCCTTCCCCTAAAAAGTCTGCAAGAATAGTCACTGTAAACAAGAGATCTGCCCAAAATTGCCAAACTTCAGAACATGATATCAAGTCACTAAATATTACCCTAAATTGACCAATTCAAACCTTGAAACGAAATTTCAAAAGCCAAAACACGAATGACTAAGATAAATAGAAACTCAAAACAACACAAAATGAAGAAAATGCTTCCGAGTCCATAAACAATAATATACAACTCTCCTCTCTCAATGAGCTTCGGGCATTGATCACAAGAATACATTTCTTTTCTTCATTTTATTTTTTGTTAAAAATAAATAAAGTCACTTGATTTCTTTCTGTTGAAAATGAAAATCAAGAGCACAGTATGGAAGAGGGTTCAGAGTCGTTTCAGATTTTAACCAGCAAAAGTAAAAAGAAGTAAATTAAAAAATAAAATTAAGAGCATAGAGATTGAAAAATTCATTGAGAGCCAAAGGAAGAACCTGGGTTGAGAGAGAGAGAGTGGCGTTTGAAGTTGAAACTACATAGCGGTTTTTGCAAATGAACGGTTTATTTTAGGGTTAGACCGCAAGTGTTAACCTCTTCTTGTTACCAAACAGCCACCAAATCGGCGTGTGGATTGGTATTTCTCAATTGCTTACAGCTGCCACTGATAGTAGAACATGGACTGGATATCATTTGATTTCTTTTTGTGCAAAGACAAGACTCAAAAGTAAGTCTTATAAAATGAAACAGATAAAGGAATGATCACAGAACATTGAATGGGTATTGTTTGAATAGATTAATCTATTTTTAAGACATTGTTTGTTGAAAATTATATTTATATGTGTTTAAAATTACGAGAAAAGTACATTAAAATTTTTTTTAAAATTTTCCCATTAAATTCTGAACTAATATTTTAAAATACCTTATAATATTTATCATACAATAATTAATATCATTTTTTGTTCATACTTATTTATTTGAACGATTTTTTTTATTTGCTGATGGAGGCAAAAGCTTACAATAATATTATTTTTATTAATATTTTTTGTTTATATAAAAATTTAAGTATAATAAATAAAATATCTATAAAATTTAAGAAATTTAAGAATTAAAAAAATGCTTGTTAATAATTTAAATATATATATAACTTTTTAATTAATTTTTAAAAATATTTTTAAAAAATACCTGGACAATTCTTTAACTAAATATACAAATAAAAGTATGATACTATATATGCTAATAATTTTTTGTTTCTTATTTTATAGAAGCAGTCTTCTTATGATTAGGACTCATGCCTATCTTAAAATTACCTTTAAAATTTGTATAAATAATTATCTCTTAAAAATTTATTATCTTGAAGTTATTGTGAATTTTTTATAAAAAAAATATTAAAAAAATATTAAAATACACAAATAGACCAAACAAGAAAATATTTACTCATATGAATCTATTTACTGTTGATAAATTCATATTTTATTATATTTTTAGCCTAATTTTTGTTAGTAAATAAGGAGTTAAATAGTAAATAAACTTGAAAATATCATAAAAATTGTATTAATATTCATAATTGCATAAATAGTTTAGAATTTTAAATTTTATTCTACTTTTGGACAATTTTGCTTAAAAAGACTTAACTTTATGCAAAACCTCAAGTTGAAGATGTCTAAGTTGAAGATTGAACTAAGGAAGTAGAGGAAGTGAACTTAAAAGATGAAAAATCAAGTATTAAGTGTTGAGAGTAGCCACGTACAAAATTGAGTGTCCACTTTAAGTGCTGAGAGTAATCACGCACAGAAGAGAGTGTCCACTCTAAATGCTGAAAGTAGCCACTCAATGTTGCGCATGGACACTCTGGCCACTTAAAGTAGCCATGCACAAGGCTTATTTGCACATAATACATGCGCGTGACACTCTAAGTGCCGAGAGTGTCTGTCTATGCAAAATAATAGAATTTTGAAAATCACTTCTAATTGTCAACTTTGGATGATTTGAGCTCCTATTTCAGTTGTAGAAGCTTCTAGAAGAACTTTCATGCTATAATCCTTAGAGATTAAAGTGTGGAAGTGGAAAAGGCGAGAAAAATATTATAAAAAGAAGTTAAGAGTTCAAAATTGGAAGTCTTTTGCCATTTTTGTTTTCTTTTCATTTCCACACCTTAGGAGAGTTAGAGAGGATGATTGAGGGCGACTTCCAAGCTCTGGACTTTGAGGATTAGGCTGGGGAATAGATTTATGAAGAAATTCTACAGCTCCTCTTCTTCTACTCTTTCTCTCTCTTTTTCTTTTAGGAACATGTTCTGATTTCTTTTTGTTAGGGGTCCATGGATCCAGATTTGATATTGTGATGTAATTTTGGATCTGGACCTTGAAGTTTTGATTGAATTGAGTATGTGATTTTGTTCTTAATGCAGTTGTGAATTAATCCTTCATTCAATTGAACCTAAAGGAATCTTCATCAATGGAGATTAAGTTTATTTCTCAGATCTGAATCATATGCCTAAGTTATTGAGATCTTAGGAATAAGTATCATAATCTAGTAATCCTACAATTTTCAGAACTTAATGCAATATTTGATTGAATTTCACCAAGGAATTAGGGAGGTTTAATTAGGTATTAGGATAAATGAGGCAAGGAATTGTCATTTGGTTAAAGAAGTGAAATTGATTATTAATCAATTAGAATTCTTAAGAGTCCAGAACATGATTACATTGCAATTGAAAGTCTGGTGAAGTGATTCCTAACTATTTTTCACATAGCATTTTAATACAAAATTTGTATTTCTATTTTGCTATATTTTTCATATTTCTGCACTTTATTGCTTTGTTTGTTAAATGATTGAAAACACTCCAAATTCGTTTGGGTCAACTAGTTATAGATTTGTGAAATAATAATTGATAGACCTAATCCTTGAGGACGATACTTGAGACTCACATTGATTTTCAAATTTTATTACTTGCTACAACTACCTAGTACACTTGTTAGTTAGTTCTCCAATTTATGTGACAAGTTTTTAGAACTGTTGTCGAGGATTATGTACTTTCAATATCATTAGTAGCAGAAAGATAGTTAGATTGAGCATTTTTGTTGTTGTTTTGCTTTCTAATTTTTTTGCATAATTTTTTTTTTTTGCATATTGTGAAGTTTTCTGCATATATATATATAGATATATATTGTGTTGTTGATTTTTGCATGAGTTATTTTGCATTTTTCTGCATAGCTGTTTAATTTTTCTCCATAATTTATTTTTGTTTCTGCGTTTTTTTTTTTGGGATAGATTTTGCATTTTTTGTTTGCTGCATAACTTTTCTGTATTCTTTTGCACTTTTCTGTATAATTTCATTTTACATTTGCTGCATAGTTGTAAATTTCATTTTGCATAATTTCTATGTTTTCTGCATGTTAAGTTTTGTAATTTTCTACATAATTTTAAAGTTCATTTTGCTTAGTTACTAATTTCATTTGAATTTTGTTTACTTCCTTTTTGTATGCAAAGAAAAATTAGAAAAATAAAGTGTTCTATTATTTGATGGTAACCAGCATGTATCAGAATTTCTATCAAAGCCAAGTTGTAAGAAGAAGAGCTTATGAAGCAGATGCTTTTGAAGCTTTGATTAATAATTTTCAAGCTAAAATTTTCCAAACTAACCCCATGGTGTGTGATTTTTACAGTGAAAAACATGTGCATGAAACCTATGATGTGGCTGCACCAGAATTTCAAGAAGAATTCAATTATGGAGGAAATTTTCAAAGACCTAAATCTACCTTTCCTCATATATATCAATATCAAGCTAACATGAGTCAGCCATATTATGATTGGAATCAACAAATGATTGCTGCAACAACACCATTCTTCAGTCCTTAATTTTCACAGCCTTGTTTTCAAGTATCATATTCTCAATCTCAAAGAGGACAACAGCCTTCAAAGACTCTTCCAAAAAGAAATAATGAACTTGAAGAAACTATGCTCCAATTCATGGAATTTACTCAGTTAAGTTTCAAGAATCAAGAGGCATCCATTGAGAAGATGAAGATGTAAATAGGACAAATTTTAGAACAATTGTTAAATAGGAATGATGAGAAATTTCCTAGCAACACCATTGTGAATCCAATAGAGCAATGCCAAGCTGCTTTCACAAGGAGTGAGCTGAAAATTTCAAGTCCTAAAGTTGGTGAGAAAAAGGAAGCATTAGATAAATATGAAGAAAACAAGATTCAAGATAAGCAACAAGAGAATTGCAAGGAAGAGCAGTTAACGATTTTAAAGAAAGAAGAACCAAAGGACTATAGCAAGACATAATCTGAAAAAAGAACCAAAAAGCGGTTGTTTGAAGATACTTGCAAGCCAATAGATGAAGCTAGATGCCAAAAGCTTCCATTTCCTCAAGGACTGCAGAATCCCAAGCAAGGAAAACAGAATGATGATTCTATACTAAGAGAGATCCTTGCTGCAGTAACATATCAAGACAATGAAAAGGAGGGAAATAAACTTAATGAGTATATCAAATTGCTGGAAGTCCCTCCACTTTTATTTTTTGCATGTTCTAAATTAAATGAAGAGCTGCAAGTTGGTGAGAAAAAGGAAAAACTTTAAAGATAGAGCAAGAGTCGCTATCATCAAAATCATCTCTTAGAATCAAAGATTAATAGGCGTTAAGCTAGTGACATTAAAAGAGCACTTTGTGAAAGGCAACTCACACTTCTTTCCCTTTAGATTTTGTTAATTTCTTGTTTTTTATTTCAGTTTTTACATGATCTAAATTTCTGGTTGTAGATAATAATTTTTTTTAGGAGTAAAAGTTTTAACCTATAGAGGAGTTTTCTGAGTTGGAGTGCTGAAACATCCATTTTTCTCAGCATCACCACATAGATACTTTAGGATTATTTCTCTGTTCCTTTCTAAATTTCTAACCTTTAAATTTTGATAGAATTTAGATTAATTTTAAATTTTGGTTAATTTTGAATTTTAGAATTCTGCATGATTGTGAATTTTTAGTATGATGGAGTAGTTAATTCTGAGTTTTCAAAGAATTGAATGTGTATAATTTGAGTTTTGATTTTGCAGGTGTTAATTCAAATAGAGAAGAATGAGACAAAGTGATGTAATTGTGTTTAAAAGAATGTTCATTAATTGAGTAATCATTTTGAGGAAGAAGAGTTGAGGCGCAGGGGCTATTTTCTGAAGTGTGATCATTTAAGTGAACACTTTAAGTGCATAAAGTGTCTATGCAAAAGTTCATTATTCCTGAATTTTGCAGCGAAGTTTTCAAGTGGACACTCTGACCACTTGAAGTGTCCACGCGCAAGAGCATCTGAAAAAAATTAAAAAGGAGGCGTCTGCGTGGCTACTCCAGGCGTTTAAAGTGTCCACGCGCAACTATGCGCTGCTACTCTCGCCACTTAAAGTGAAAAGACGCACCTGAGTGAAACTTTTATGTGGCTACTCTTGCCACTTAAAGTTACTACGCACACATTATATTTCATTTACATGACTCCAGCGTGTTCACTTTCCCCATTTAAAGTTTCTACCTAGTCTGCGTAGCTACTTAAAGTGCTAAGAGTGATAATGCAGAACCACAAAAACCTAAGCTCTCAAAACCCTAGCCCTAAAATTTGATTTTCTTACTTATCATTAGGTACATTTGTGTTGATTATCTACAGTACCATCACTTATAAGTAGGATTACATCATTATTGCACTCCAATTCCAGGTAATTCATCCTTTAATTTTGAATTTTCTGATTAGGGTTCTTGAAGGGGATGAATTGGGGAAAATTTGGGAATT